AGGGAACCCAATGACAACGTCCCAGTCGCGTCATCCCCCCCCCCCCCTCGTATCCCTTCTTCATCGACCTCTCCCCTTCGCCTTTGGACTTCCTCCTACAACCCGCATATACGTGCCAACGAGCCCTCTATCCAAAGCAGGGAAACGGCCGGTGATAATCTGCCGGTCCGGCAGACCAACCAGGCTGCCGGGTCAACGACGACGCGCGCCTCGCCACATGACCAGTATTCAAGCAGCGTCTCTCGGTGAGACAGCGAAAACACAAATACACACTGCCAGCATATGTGTGCGTATGTATATATAAATCAGGCTGCAAGAGGAGGGGTCGTCGGTCATCAACCAGCCGCGTGGGAGGCGGAGGTAGTTCATGCAGGTCCGAATTCGCCATTTCGCCCCAAATGCAAGGGGTGAATGTGAGTGACGGTCGCATTTCGTACGAAGTAAACCAGAAAAACACGAAACGTCCTGCGGCGCTTGTTTAGTTCGGGTATACTTACGTGCGTGGGAGACGGGGATTACATCCTCGCCTTCTATTGTGTGTGTGAGTGTTCCTTGCGGGGGATGAAGTGAATAGTGACCGTTGCATCGAGAAATGTCTCTGTCCGACGTCCTCCTCCCGATGGAAAAGGTGGTTTACCCTTACCTCTGGATCACATCCGTAATCCATTTACTCGAATTCCAAAATTCCCCTCGGAGGCGGGTAGGTAGGAAAACCTCCATCCCACCACCCCCTTGTTCCCCCGACCTGGGGTTGTTATGTGGGGGGAGGAGAAGTTCATCCAACGTCCACCTAGAGATCCAAACAGGCTGGCCTTCCATCCCAGGACACGCAACAGCCACGCGCGCGCAGGCACGGCACGGCGAACTCACTGTCATTCCCCTCACTCCTCTCACTCCCGTCCTCATACACACCACACCACACACCCCCTCCGTCCTCGATCGTCCACTCCCCCTCCTCGCTCACCACCATCACCAACGCGCATCAGGGAACCAACAAACGGGACCAGTTAGAAGCGCGGCTATGCGCAGCCACATGGTGGTAATGCCATCATCGTGCAATTTCGGCACATGTTTATTTGAATCTTATTTCTCTGTCGAGATGCGTTTTGTGCGAGCCGCAGACCGCTTCTTTTTACATGTTGCCACACGCATATCCAGGGTTATGTAGTCTCCCCCGATCCAGGTACGAATAAGTCGAGTCACATATCCGAATCGGCCTTGGTTCGGTCTGCGCGGGCGTCTTCTGCACAAACATCCGGGCTGCCACTTGCTGGAATCGCCGTTTGTCCTGTCGAGGGCCTCCGGTTCGGGTACGCCCCCCATCGGCATCGAGTCTCCCCCAACTACCCGGGGAAACAGACTTATCTACTTACAGGTCGATGTCGAGACATACATCCTCGAGGCCCAAGGAAAGACCAAAGACAGACCTGCATTGCAGCCTGACAAGTTCATCCTCTTCCCGTTCAAGTCAAGTTCGATGAAGCGTGTTTCGATAGTAATCATGTATGTCTTTATGTGGTAGGTATCGATAGTCCTAAATTCTCATACGTACATCTCAGGCGTCCACCGCAAGCAAGGGGTGCATGATCTCGGGATCCTTCCTATCGGTCCAATCGTCGCTCTTGTTCCCAACAAAAAAAGCAAAGAAGAAAAAAAAGACAAGAAAACTCAACGCTCGATCAACTCCTGTTGTCCTTTCGTGTTGCCACACTCCCCCAGTCCCCTTCCCGGATGTTCCTCATGCAGCCCGTCCCAAGTCGCTTTTCCCAGGGTATCTCTGTAGAGTCTAATAACTCTTGATGCGAATGCCCCCAAACCCCCGTTGCCCCGCTAGATGGCTCGTCCAATCCCGTGGTTGTCTAATAACTCCCATGATGCAATCCCCCTGCCCAAACAATGTACACCTAAATAAGGTCTCTGTGAAGAGAAACGACGAAGAAAAAAAGTATAGACAAGGTTTTCCGGTGAAAAGATTGTCAGAAAGAAAGGAAAAGTGAACCGCTCAACAGCCAATTTCGACACCTTCGTACACTCTCCGATGATGAAAATACAACCTCGACCGCGAAAGTAGATGATCGAAGGGAAATGTATAATGTGTGGGTGAAAGCCAGAAAAGGAGATATACGAGTTGGAAGAAAGGAAAAGAAAATCATAGGCAGCCTCCCCGATCCCAAAATTACTGATAATGAAATAACGCTTCTTTTGCGAAACGTGCCGTTGTTGAATGACTCCCATATCCTGGATACGCCTGTGGTCTTTTTTCTTTCCGAGTGGCCGAATGTGGGAGGTCGACCCGTTGCTTTTTTTGATATTTTACTCCGTACCGTTCCCGTGGTATCTTTCTTGAATCGTTTCGTTCAGTTCGTCCGAGGAGCCGTTGATGTGTGAAGACGGTGTCGGTGGGCGAGGTCTAGTAGATGGATTGTGCGTAGCCGCGGTCGCGGAAGGCACCGGGCAGGCCGTCGTATCTCGGGCTCGCTGCATTCTCGCGATAGGCAGTGGGGATACCGTCGTACCTGGGGCTCGATGCGCTGGAAGACTGGTCCATGTCGGTGTCGTAAACATCGTGCTGGTGGTAATGCATGTACTGCTCCGGAGGCGGGAGACGCTTCGAGCTGTAGGCCGCCAGGCTGGTAGGTCCGGGAACGCGCTTGACGGGGTACGATGAAGGGGCAGTCCTCGACTTGGACACGCGGTTGGCATTGCTGACTCTGCGGTCCTTGCCGCGGCCCTTGATGCCCTTGTTGCTGTTCTTGTAGAGGTTGGCGAAGTACCAGTACATCTCCCGGTCCTCATCGGAGAGGCCGTCAATGTCAGACAGGGAGACGATCCAGTCAGTCAGCTCCAGGAGCGTCTTCTCGTGGTACTTGTTCTGATGGTTCTATGAGGAAGGATTAGATTTTGGTCACTTTAAAGACGCGTTTTTACATACCTTGAGGTTGCCTCTCTGCGTGAACATCTTGTTGCACTTGTCCAACTTGCAAACGAAGGGCTTGGCATTGGTGTGTGTAGCCAAGTGTGTCTGCAGGTTGCCGCGCTGGGCGAAGACCTTGCTGCACTGCTCGCATCGGAAGGGCTTTTCGCCAGTGTGACGACGCATGTGAGTCTTCTGGGAGTCAGCTGGGATCATTTTCGTCGTACTCGAGAAGTAATCTTACCTTCAGGTTTCCGGGCTGCGAGAAGGTGCGTCCGCATCGCGGCCAGTTGCATGCCTGTATCGGATGAGCGGTGCGCTAGCAATCATTTTCGGGTGGTTACTTACATAAGGCTTCTCTCCAGTGTGAGCACGCTTGTGGGTGTCCAGATGAGTGCTTTGGTAGAAGCTCTTGCCGCATCCATCAACGTCGCAAATGTACTTCTTGGACTTCGGTGCCTCAGCAGGCTCTGGGCATGGCTCGGGCTGATTTTGGGATTAGTTGCTGGCGTGAACTGGTCAAGTTTGGGTACGTACTTGGACATGAGGTTGCGGCTGGGCCTTGGGAGACCTGGGCTCGGGCTTGACGACCTTTTCGATCTCGGGGACGCCTTTGACGATGTCTTCCGAGTCGTGCCTCTTCTGGATGGCCTTCATGAGCGTGTCGATGGCGGTTGTGAAGTTGACCGCCTCTGCGCTGGTGGGCTTGTTGTATTTGATGTCCTTGGTGTTGAGAGGGTGGGGAGTCTTTGTGCTGCTGGCGGTCTTCGTCTCGCTGCGGCTGGAAGGGCTCTGGTGACGGTCGTTCTGCATCGAGGGGCTCTCCTGAGGGAACGAGCTGGCGCGAGGAACCTCGTGCTCCTGGGCTGTGACGGGCATCATTTGGCGGTCCTGCTGCGCAGGGAGTCTGAAGGGCATGTTCATGTTGGTCGGAGACGAATCGTACTGGGCGTAGGCAAAGTGGTTTTGAGTCTGGCACGGGTGGCCCATCGTGGGCATGGAGGCGACTCCGTAGTGGTTACCAACCATGTACTGAGGAGCCATGATGGCTCCGTTCATGGGGGCGGACGTCTGTGTCCTGGAGTCGTAGGGCACAAAGTTCGAGTTGTCCATCATGCTGTATTCGTTGGCAGCAGGGTGATGCTGTTGCCAACGGCCCCAAGCCTGGGGTGCGGCTGGTGATTCCGTGAGGGCCATTGGAAGTTACCAATGTGGTCGTATCGGCGGAAGTAATGGTGTTGATGGATATGAGAGTGGTTGGAAAGAGGGTAGCCTGATGTAAGACTGTCGTTGATGACCTCGGTCTGGTTCAAGAGAAGGAGGGATGGTACAAAGAGGGCGAGTGTGTGGTAAACATCAAAAGGAAAGAGTGAAGAGGGTAGATCACTGATGACTCTAGAGGTTAAGGTTTGTGATGTTGTGTTGTGTCCTCGAGAAAGAAAGGAGGAGCAGATGGAGATATAGTCCTGGGGAGACAGGAGGATATAGCCAACGTTCAGTAGTCGAGGATAGCTGATGTGCTACTGGGGTTAAACGGCATCGCCAAAGCCAATCGACTGGATTGGGTCCCGGAGATCTTAGCACTAAATATACATGCATCCAAAGCGAGACCAGCAGGACCCAGACAGTGGGTTACTTCAGAAAAAGAATTGTTGCGGCCAGAACAAGAAGATGGAGGTTTGGTGGAAATCGACCCCCACTGCAACGAACAAGACGGAGGCACGGAAGACATCCACGAAAGCCGGGGTATCAGTGACTGAGCGGGTCAAGGGCCTTGTCTACTTAGACGAGGAGCAGACCAGGTGGCCCAGGGTTATCGAACCGACCGGGAGGGGGCGCGTGTGGTAAGTTGGGGCTGGGAGGGGAGGGGAGGGGGAGGGGAGTGGGAGGAGTCGTCATAACCATGCCTGCACCCAAGGCAAGAGGTAGTGTGGGATGTGCTCATGTCTCTCTTGGAGACTGCTAGTCTGCGCTCCTCTCATAGATGGTGGAGGCGGCGGCGAACGGCGACAGGCGTTGCCAGGAAAGCTGAGAGTGAGAAACCACCTGCTGGCTCAAGTCTTGGTTGAAGGTGAAGGGTGAAAGGACGAGCCAAAGACTGACCTGATGGAAGCTGAGAAGGCCGTCAGAGGAGGCAGTCGATCTGGCCACCTCGGGTTCTCGAGTAAAGCAATGAGACATTCTGCGAATATGGGCTGTGTTGTAGAGTGCTGGCCACTTGGCTTGGCCGAGAGGAAAAGAGAACAGGGGACGTTGGGTATCTTGGAGCGTGTACTCGTAGGCGGCCAATGTCGAATTCTGGTGGCAGACATAGTCGTCGCATTACTGCTACGTTGGATGAGGATTGGCAACCGGATGGTGAGAGTTTGAAACAAGCATGTTAAGAATTTCTCAAATAAACAGAGCCATGTGCATATCTACGAGGTTACTGAGGCTGGGCTAGTCGGGGCGGGCTCGAAACCTCGTTGCTTATTCCTCGTTGACCTGCAGCATGGTGACATCCCACTTGGTCGAAGCCCAGATCTCGCCCAAATGGGTGCCATGATTGCTTTTTGTTACATGGTGGGATCGCCGGGAGCTCTCATGTTGCAGCCGGACGGCAAGGCCAGGCAGGGGCATTTGGCAGAGGGACTTTTCAGAGACGTCAAGACAAAGTGAGAAGAGATAGAGTTCGCAGATGGAGAGAGGCAATACAAGGAGGCTGTAGATGATGGAGAAATGCGCGCCACGCACCAGCCAGGACTACCTGGCAAGGAAGATGGTCATTCGGGTGGTGTCTAAGCCTGGGTCGAGGACCTAACATGATGATCGGGCATCATGATAACCAGCAAGGCGAAGGCAGGCTGAGGCGGGGATAGGGAGTCGGACAGGGCCTGTCTTCCTTCGTACGTAGGGCGGAGGTTCAGGAGAGAGAGCGAGGGTGATCGGTCATGGTGACGATAGCCATGATGTCTGTATATGGCAATCCTAAAGAAGGATATACGGTAGGAAGCAGGGCAGGTTGGGACTTGTGGGTGAAGATACCAGCTGGGTATCGAAGAGAAGAGGCATCCGTACGAAGACAGGGCCTCACACTCGCAGTAACGAAGTTGAAGGCGTGAGCATGGGGTTCCGGATTGTCTCTTGGGTGCAGTGAATGTCTAACAATGTCTGACATGGAAGACGAAAAAAAAAAAAAGAAGAGCCCGGGTGCCGACAGGGGTTCCCTGACCGCCGGGCTCTCTCGATTTTTAGAGCAGGCGGGCGGGACTGACGGCAGGGAGGCATCGAAGATCCTATTGGCACCTAACGGGAAGGAAGGGGTGTTTGTGGTGGTTGTGTGTGGTGATGATGTTGATGGTGGTGATGGAGGGGTGAGAAAGGGAGTAGGGAGTGCAAGGAGAGTGCATCTTCCAGTCAGGCACCTCGACCTGGAGGCAGGTACGTACCTTCGATGCAGTCGACACCCGCCCCCCGCCTGCAGCTGTGGGAGTGGGGAATGGGAAGATTTCTGGGTACGTGCCCCGCTGGGCAGACGGGGCACCGGGATCATGATGACCGGGGTCAGGTACGTACCTCCCGTCTGATTCTCACACCCCTCCCCTTCCCGCCAGCATGCAATCCAATTCTTCCTCTCTTCCTCATCCACCTCCACCTATTCTCTTCGTCTTCTCGTGAGGTCGACTGTCTCTATGCCCACGCCCATCATTATCATCGTCTCATTGAAGCCACAGTCGAGAATTCGCAACCTTGACCACCAGTTCGAGCAGACATATCGCATCTTCTCTTTACTTGCCTTGCCAGCTTCTTGGGCCGTCCGTTTGCTTGTTGTTGGTTGTTCTCGATTCCCCGTTCGTCGGAGGTTTCAAACCGTCAGCACTCATTTTGGTCTCTAAAGAAACTGCAGCATCCGCCATGAACAAGCCGCGTTTCCCAATTGGGCCTCGACATCTGCTTGCCTGCCAGACGACAAACGCGCATCACCTTTGCCAGCTCCGGGGCCTCCTGTCCATGTCTGTCAGCGGCAAAGCACGACACGGCGGTGATCGTCACCGTGGCACTTCCGGTTGACATCTCCTCAGCCCTGTCCGTTGCCTGCGCTGCCTCGACATCCAAACCCTCACTTTGGTCCCGAGTTAACGCGACATCTTCCCTGGGCCACCGGTACCTCCGTCTCTCTCCAACGGACGCCGTCAAATTGCTCAGCCCGGGGTGTATGCGCGCTCCAAACTGTTAAGCGCCTCGTATCACGCTTGCCGCCTCCCGCCTCCCGCCTCATTTCGCAACTCCCGCACCACGAGGCTGCGTGGCGTCTTCCCCACCGCCGACAACCTTGCTCGTCTGTCGCTGTCACCCTCGCACTCGCCCTGACGGCATTGGACTTTGACAGCTCGCAACAATACCCTTTTTGCCAGTCCGTTTCGAAAACTCTTCGCCCCCCATCGCCAACCCAATTTGTCACTATCCTACCCTTCCCGCTTGGCATCAACAAAAAGCCGACGAACCATCCGCCGCGTTCCTGTTATCCATGACTCCCCATTCGGCCTTAGACTTTGGGAAACGATGAGCCGCTACGGACGAAACAACGTCGGAAATTTCGTACCCAACTTCGTCTTCCACCGTCATATGTGCCACTGGAGACATGTGCATCTGTGTCTACCAGCGCCAGGAAACAGTGGCACCTCGAGCTCACTTCCTCTGCCGACGGACCAAAGGATCGGTTACGGTCACAATGTTGGCCGTTACAGGCTCGGCAGGCCTTCGCACACTACTATGCCTATCCGTACGCAGGCTCCACGATGAGTGGGAACGGCCGTCGAGTCGAATGATGGCACCTTGGAAGAAAATCCTTCTGCATCAAAACCTCCGAGCTGCAAAAGCAGGGGGGAAATAAGGCAGATTGCAGCGCAGTGCCTTCGCAACTCACATCGTAATCGGAATCCAGGGGTGTGCCGTCTCCGGTGGCCCCCGGTGGTCCCTCTCCTCCACTGGGCCCTGCGATCTGTCTGGGCCGTTCTTCGATCATGGATCTCAGATTGACTCTGGCTATCCGTACCTACTCTAGTCTGAGTATCTGCGTTGCGGAAAGCGAGCAACCTTTGCTGCAACCTGCGAAAATAAGCGGTTATCCAACCCACAGCTGCACCACGATAACACTGCAATCTGACAAAGCCGTACGGTGTTACATGTCAGAAAAAAAATTCAGAGTTGGATTTGATGGCTGCCACTGTCGGCCCACTCTCGACAATTGTGGGCAACTACAGGCGAAATCAACATTGCAGTCATTCATTTCTCTTTGGCGTCGGCGATATTCCGAGCCGCAATTCGCCAATGTTTCAAACGGTGGCAGTGTATGATTGCCAGTGCCTTCCTTCGCCTCTGGAATCGTTGTCTTCCTTGAGACTATCATTCACTCAAACACTATGGACGGAACAGCTTCATGTGCAGGCAAGGGGCCTCGTTGATGTGGCATTGGCCCTTCGCGGGATGGCCTGTCTCCCGCGAATAGGGCCTCGCGTTACCCGTATCGAATTGCAGACTGCGAAGCGAATCAGCTAAACCGTGGACCACTTGTTAACGATGGTTTCGTCATGGCAGGAGGTCCGATTTACTTCAGCCTTTGCAATAACTCCTCTACGAGAACAGCCCACTGCGGGGGTTGCACAATAGCTGCTGTATGCCGGCTTATGCAACCCATCACTGCGCATCAGTCATGATGACGCCGTTCGCCGCAGCAGCCAATTACCATTTACAGCTCTCAGAAAAGTGTTGCTGTCTTCTGGATATGATTTCATCCCGAACACCGCCGTTCTGCTCCGTTCGCATTACGGTTCGCATAATATCAGTGCAATTATTCCCGCCAAAGAGCCTCGTGAGGTCCCTAATCTGCTCTTTAGAAACAATCGAGGACCAGCATCAGTGGCTGGGCCATATCGATTGACCGCACAAAATTTCTCGCATGCGTGCGATATCCAGCTCCCAGGGTCCGACATCATACCCTCATCTGGGCACCCGATGCCTCCTCGGCACTTCCCCATCGAGCGGCTTCAGTTGAGAGCATCGAATCCGAACTGGCCCATGTCTTTGCTGAGGGCCTTGCAGAAACAGCAGCACTCCTGTTCTCCGTCTCAAACATGGCAGTACCCGTGTCATCACTTAGATGCACCTATATCATATATCACATTCGACTGAAATCAGTCAACCTCTGGGAAGACTTC